AGGAGAGAGGATCGAGGAAGACCGAGGAGGTTCGAGGAGGATGAGGAGGATACAAAATCGAGGAAGAGGTTCGAGGAGGATGAGGAGGATCGAAGATCGAAGATCGAGGATCGAGGATCTGGGAGGAGGTTCCAGGAGGATGAGGCGGATCGAACCTCGAGGGTCGAGGAGGAGGCTCGAGGAGGAGCTACTATTCGGAGCCACGTGGGGCCCTCTGGGCCTCGATAAGGGGGCAGCTCCCCGCCGGCCCCCCTCTCGGCGGCGCGCCCAGGGGGAAGGCAGAGGTGGCGGGCCTGACCCGAGGGCTCCGAAGGCCTCTCTGGCCTGCCGCGAAGCTCCCGGGGCCTCCTGCGAAGGCTCTCGCCATCGCTCGGACGCCCCTTCCCCGTGCACTCGTTGGTTCGATTTCGTGAGTTGCCTCCTCGCGAGAGGATCCAAGATGCTCCTCGATGGCCCTCGCCGAGAAACCAAAATGCACACGTCCGAGCGATGCCAAGAAGACGAAGAGAGGGCTTCCCAGGAGGCCCATCTGGGACTGCAAAGGGGAGAACCCGAAAAACATGCAAAGAACCTTCGGGGAATCCATGCTTTTGGCCTCCTCGAGGCCCTCTCGGGGGCCCTCGTGAGGGCCCCTGGAGCCGTGTCGAGGCCCTCTCCCTTGGGGACCGCCTGGAGGCCCTCTGCAGCTCCTTTGGGGGCCGTCTTGGGGCCATCGGGCGGCTTCGGAGGCGACGCGCCGCCGCCTTCCGGGAAGGCCTGCCCCCCCCCCCCGCACTTCCCCCCAGTTGGCGCGCCGCCGACCCTCCCGCCTCGGATCGAGGAGGGGGAGGAGGCTCGAGGATCGGGGAGGATCGAGGATCGAGGATCGAGGAGGAGGAGGAGGAGGAGGAGGTTAGAGGATCGTCAAGGAGGATCGGGGAGGAGGATCGGGGAGGACGAGGAGGGGGGATCCAGGAGGAGGAGTCCAGGAGAAGGATCCAGGTTCGAGGCCAGCTGGCTGTTGACGTTCTTCGCCCCTTTGTTAAGGGAACCTCCCCAGGGGCTTCTCGTCGTCGAGGCTCGGCTCCCCTCGAAACATTATAGCCGGAACGCGCCCCCAGGCGAGAGGTCCGGAAAACCAGAGAAAGAGCCCGCACCCCTCGTCTCGAGGGAGGCTCGGCGGCGGACCTTGAAGGCTGCCTGCCGCGTCTGTGCCCGGTGCTTCTGTGTGTGGGCGGAGGGGACGATGGATGAGGAGAAGAACGGGAAAGGGCGGGGGGGAGGGAAGGGCGAGGAGGGAGGCGACGATGATTCCGTGGCCGTCTCGGCCCAAGAAGTCTTGGCTCAGGCCATTGTTGCTCAGCGGTCCAGGCACGCCATGCCAGAATCAGAGGGAAGAATCTGCGTCGCATGCACGATGCAGAGGCCGCATGCTGATCCTTGTATAAAAGATAAGGTTCAAGAGGCTCGGACGCTCGGCGCACAGAAACACAAGCCGTGTATGCGTGCATGTGGCTGTGCCAACATACACAAGGCAGATGCTCACATTATCTACTAGATAAGCATGGCAGCATTTCCCGACATACCTTATGCACACTGGAAGCACCATGTAAGATCCGAAGCGCCCCTGTAATGGCTGGGAGACCAGGACCCCGTATCCTGTGTGCACACATCTTTCCACCAAGGCACGTGTGTACGCAAATGTGCACACCATGGAAGACACGCATCTGTGACTTGTTAAGAATGCCGAGCCTACATCGCGGCTGAGTGTACAGACTCGGGTGTGCAGCTTGACGCTGGCACCAAGCCCTGTACACTTTTATGGGTGCGTGTAGCGCGTCGCTGCGCGCACCCTGACTGAACCTCGCGCTCCGTGTGGGTCGAGCCTACATGATTTGTGGGGAGGGATGCCTTGACCTGAAATTCTAATGTAGTTGTCACGACCTTCACAGAGCCAGACATGATTGACAATTCCTCTGCATCTCTCTTACGCCTCTGCGTTTGCAAGAAGCTGCCACGGATAGTGAACGAGACGTCCTTCCTGCTGTGGACATGCTCCTCCTTCTGGCTTGAGAGCGGGGGTGGGTGTCGTGAGGATGCGGAAGAATGTCCAGGAACGGGTGTATCAGTGTACGTTTTCTCCGCCAAGCCAGCCCAGAAGACTTTCACAAGACTGCCTCTGGCATCCGTTCACTCGGTGTCCTATTACCTTGTGCACCCTGCAAGCAGGACTCCAGCACACAGCTTTCGCGTGTAACGTTTGTGACTTCAAGCGTCCTCGGGATTCACCACCTGTTGTGGGCCCGCAAAATATTATCTTAATTCATGTTTTCTCCTCTCTCCCATCATCTCTCTCTCTCTCTCTCTCTTTCCCTCCATCTCTGTGAATATTCCGTTAGAGGGCAGCAGGTGTGGCGTCACGGCTTTGGGACCTTTCTGACAGATGGTGGTGGTTGCGGTCAGAAGCTGTTGCTTAGCGTGTGGCGGCGGCGGCCCTTGCGACACGCTACGCCCTGTAAGCGCACAGCGCTTCGCTCCGCTTCGTCGAACGGGAGGCCAGGAACAGCTCGAGACGCTGACGCATGGCCGCCAGGGCGTGGTCAGTGCGTCGCGCCGAAGCTGAGGAAGCAGACGAATACCGCTTACCGCTACTCCGTGGACCTCTCCCAGGGCGTTCTGGCCAGGATCTCGAAGCGAATCCGGCCGTGGCAAGATCGGGTCGGGCGAACGGGGGGGATAGCAAAGGGGGGAGAGAATCAGCTCACTTAGCTGATTTTCCCGGCGCCTCCCGGCGCCGGAGGCGGCTATGTATCGAGGAATGGGCCCCTTGGTGAGGCCGAAACCAGCTGCATGCAGCAAATTTCGTAAACCCCCTTTTCCCAATCCCCCCCTTTCGCCCGACCCGACAAGAGGAAAGAGCGGCGGTATCGGTAGCTTTCCCACCTCCGAGAGGCGTGGCGAACCAGAGCAGGCGGCGCGCGACACGCTGAGCAGGCGCCCCGGACCGCGGGGGACGGGCTGCGGGGCGGCTTCGGGGTGCCGTGGCTGCGTCCGAAGGTTTTTCTGAGCGCCTCGGCTGCTGCTTGCCTGGCTACCTCGCTCTCCCCTGCTGCCTCTGAGTCCCTCGCCTCGCCACGTCCAGCCCTCCACCCTCCCCAGCTCCCATCACCCAGCCATCCGCACATTCCCTCTCTCCTCCCTCCAGCTTCCCTGCCCCATCCACCTCCTTCGCCTCGTCCTCCCGAGCTCCGTCCCCTCTGATCCGGCCTACCTCCCCACCCGTGCACCCCGCACGCAAAATGCCTGCGGAGCACCCGAGCTGTTCCATCGGTACCGCCTTGCGTGAGCACGTAGTAGTTATCATCCTGCAGCGGGCTCGAGGTTATACTGTTTCTGACAAGTCGCAAGACCATCTCATTGAAACCACGTCTGCGCTCCCACCTCGATCGCTCCTCCGACCATGAATCCTGCACTGCCTCATAATCGCAATGATATTTTGGAACACTGGACGGTGCACGTATTTGATTCGAGGCGCTGTGAGGCGTCGCGCTGGACAGACCCGCTTTACTAGCGATCAGCCCCAGGGCAAAGTGCTTCCCTGGAGGAGCGCTTCGCCGATTGAGGGCATCCACCTCCAACTCCACACTGCCTCCTGAAGCAAGCGATAAGTGTGTGTCGCCCCCTCCGAAACGAACTCAACAATTGGATCGAGCCCTTCGCCCAATGCCTAACTTGATAGTTGCCCCTTCGAGGCGAAACCACACGCTTTCTACGCCTAGGCCCATTACGTAGCAGACGCGTGGGGGCTGGTGACGCGCTAGGCCAGAGGATGTGCTGCCAAGCTGTTCGATCCGCCACGGCAATGCAGCCAAGGCATCACGGGCGCCTCCAAGCCTCAAAGGCATGTAGCCAATACTGAGCAGAAACCAGATGAGAGGAGGGACCGAGAGGCTCCAGAGATTATAGTGCCCACGAGATCTCCAAGATCGCCCCCCAGGTACCCAAAGGTAGCCAACACTGCGGCGCAAGGAAAGCCCAAGAGACCTCACAAAGGCCTCCAACACGCTTCGGAGAGGCCCTTTGTGGAGAGACCATCCGCCCAGGGTAGCTCAAGAGAATATCCTGGGCGCCCGCACGTGCAAGGAGCCCCTCACCTCCATGCCTCTGGTACACATCTCTCCTGCTGTTGCTGATTTGTTTACCTTCTCCTAGTCCTCCATCTGCTCCTCCTCCTCCTCCTTCTCCTCCTCCTCCTCCTCCTTCCTCCTCCTCCTCCTCCTCCACCTCCTCCTCACCCCCTCATTATCATCCTCCCCCTCTCCCTCATCCGTCCTCCTCTTCCCCTTTTTGCCTCTCTTCCCTCCCACTCCTCCTCCTCCTCCTCCTGCCCCTCCCCCTCCTGCTCCCTCCTCCAGCTCTGGGTTCGCCATCTGTTGGCTCGCATGCTCGCGCGGCAGTGCAGCCAACCTGGAGATCCGACATCGGTACTAATCGCACCACCGCGAAAAGTCTGGAGCCCGGGACCCCAGCTGGCTGCCGCGTGTCTCGAGCCAGATCGATTCGTGATCGTCCCGCGGCCCGAAGCTTCGCGAGAGCGCCCGGCGCGCAGAACCTGCAGCGCTCAGAGCTCAGGGCGAGCCCTCCCCCCGCAGCCCGGTGCCGGGGGTCCTCGTCGTAGCCCCTCCCGAAGAGGTGGCACACGGCCCGCACGTGCGTGGGCCACGGCCGCCTGGCCCCCCAGCAGAGAGGCAGGCAGGGGCGCGGCCCTTCGGGCCCCCGCGCGCGCGCGCTGCCCTCGGCGCCCATAGGGGGCAGGCGGGGGGGGGGCCAGGGAGGACGGCGACGAGCAAGGCGAGGCCCGGGAGGACGAGGAGCAGCAGCAGCAGCAGGGCCGCCGGCGGCGAGGACGCTAGAGCGCGACGAGGCCACAGGCCCCCGCCCGCGGCCTCCGCTCGGTGCTCCGGCCACAGCGGCTCGGACCCCAGAGGCCCGAATGCCCTCCTCCCGACCGGACATGTCCA